CGCGACGACGACGACGGCAACGACGACTACACCCGTTTCTGCAGGCTCCTCAACATGTAGAAGGCGGGCGGCGGCCGCGGCGTAGCAGTGCTAGGCGTAGTTTGCATGTTTATCTGTTTTTGTACAAATTTCTATGAAATATCGCCGAGTTTGTGCCAGATCATCGAGTTTGTATCGAGTTTGCGCAATTTTGGCGGCGACCTGGGGGCTACGACTGGGAACGCAATCACCCCCGCATGCCAAGCAAACGCCGGTTCGGCCTTAGGCGGCTGTTTTTCGGTGCCCTGGGGTGCCGAACGGCTGGAGATGCTCTTAGATAACTGATCGTTCAACTAATTTTGACTGGGCGTAATTAACGATATCAGTTAGCACCATAGATGCACCATAGATTGAAATTTGTCTGGCGAAGTGCCAGCCAAATGTATCCCCGCAAAAGAAAAGGCCAATCAAAACTACACACGAAGTTGCGTCAACAACAAAACTAGATCACCTAATTTCTGTGCCCAATTATCAAAATGGCCTTGAATTCTTAACACCGCAAAATCAAGTATGATCGGTAATGTTTAGAAAAAACACGGAGATGGTTATGAACAAGATTGATGGCCCAGATCCTGCACAAATATACTAGTACTAACATAAAAGTGCCAGAGAACGTAAACCTCTGACTCTACGTTTGTGCATGCATCCATAACAACGCTGTAAGAGCATCTCCAATAGACGGTCCAAATGTAAAAATACCTAACTTTTGGACCGTCTGGAGCAAAAAACGCTGCTCCAACGGACGGTTCATAGGAAAAAAAATTGGACCGCGGCCTCCTCGTGATGTAAAATACAACACCTCGCGGTGCAAATATACATCGCCAGATGCATCTGGTCCAAAACCAGCCGCCGCCCGCGAACGCCCAACCGCCACTTCATTTCTTTTCCCGCCCGCGCCCGTCCGCCTGCCTGAAGAACAGCCGGCCGGAATCCGCCGCCGCGACCGCCAAAAACCTCGCCGTCGGCACCGCCACCACCCCACATCCCCTCCGCCGGCCTCCGCCGCCGCCGCCCTCCGCCCCCGTCGCCCCCGTCGCCTCCCTGCCGCCACCCGGACGCCGCGGAATCGGGAGGCAGCTGACGTGGGATTCGGCCCCTCCGGTGGTTCGGCCACCGCGGTAGGCCTCCGCCGGGTCTTAGGTTGCCACCGACCTCCTCCCGTCGGCCGTGAGTCTGTCCACGGCCGGTGCACCGGCCGCACGACAGCCGCCGCACCGAGCCCTCCACCGGGCTGCCGAACTAATCTTCGCCGCCCGCCGAGCTCCTCTTGGCCGGCCTCCAACCTTATTTGTTATCACGGCCGCCGTCCGGAGCCGGCCGCAGCCGTCCGCAGCCGTAAGCAGCAGCCAATCCAGCCGGCGGCCATCTTCTTCCACCGCGCGCACAAGGTGTTCGACGGAATTCCATAAGGTAAAAAAATGACAAAACTTGATGATTTAACTTGGGATTGAACGACCTTCGAAGCAAATGGCCGCACCTACAACTATGAGTACTATCTTGTAGATGGGATCTATCCGAGGTGGAGTACATTCGTCAAGCCGGTTGCAAAACCTGAAGGTAAGAAAGAACTTGTCTTTCATAATGCACAAGCGGCGGCTAGAAAAGATGTTGAGAGGGCATTTGGGATTTTGCAATCCCAATTTGCTATTGTGCAGAGGACCATCTAGATTTTGGGATCAAAAGATCCTTTGGTACATCATGACCGCTTGCGTGATCATGCATAACATGATCATTGAGAACGAGCGTGGAAAACATTTAGATTACAACTTCTATCATTTGATGGGCATTCCTGTACAGCGAGATTAGAGACAGCGATGTGCATGACCAACTCCACAAAGATTTGATGAAAAAGCATTGGAAATGGCATGGAGAAAGATCCGCATAGATTCATTATTTATTTGTTCAAAACTATGTTGTATTTGTGTTGCATTGCATCTCCTGGATCTGAAGAACTATGTAATAATTTGATAAGACATGAATTTTTTATGTTATTTTCAAATATTTGCGGCTGTACAGTGGCTGAACAGTAGTCGGGCGGCTGCTGGCCGGTTTTGGACCGTGAATTTGGACCATCTATTGGAGTTGCTTTTTTGGACCATGAATTTGGACCATCTGTTGGAGTTGGCCTTTTTTCGGAGCTCCAAAACGTATTTTTTGGCGGTCCAAAATTTACATTTTCGGTTTTGGACCGTCAAAATTTGAACCATCTATTGGAGATGCTCTAATATCTTCCAAACAACACCAAAGAAGCATCATCCATGCATGAAGTATACCACATGCATGCATGCAGATCAATGCATAGTTTAGCCAGCCACATTGCCTCGTCACGCATGCATCTACTCCTAGAAGCGAACGTATGCAGCCATGCACAGACATAAGAGTATATGACTATGTATAGTCATTGGTCAGAGACCAAGATCTCAAGTCACTTAGAACTAATCCCAAGGAACCTGGAGAATCTTGAGAGGAAATTGCAGCAGCGGGACAGGGACGCCAATATTCGCGCTGCAACAGTCGGTAGGGGGAACATGGAAGACACCGACGATCTCCCGGGCCGTTTGGTATCACCAAGAACCCTGCATCAATTAAGCAGAGCATCGCTTTTGTCTGCAGCTGATCACTCTCTATAACTTCCATAGGAATACGAAATCCTAAATTATCTTGCTACTCTCTTCTCCTTTTGCCGGTTTAAGTAGCCTTGCATGGCAAGCCACTGACATGCTCACATGGGTCGCACAAATTAAAGTGCCCACACAGACTATATGATTGTGATCTGGTGTTAAGTTGCCTATTTGTATATGGACCAATCCGAAATGCGCATGAGTGCATTGTTGCATTACTGTTGATGAAAAGACTAGTAAAATGAGTGTAATACTCGTTCATCGATGCATTAGTGGCCACACTGTGACGACCGCATTAACCAGTACAGTCGAGCACTTGTTTAGGGCATCTCCAACGCGGACCCTCAAACCACTTGCAGTTGTCCGGACAGTATGATCCGAATGTGTTGTACCATCCAACGTGGTACTGTATCTGTTCGCCAGCCGGTCCCACCCAAACACCTTTTCCTTCTCCGTGCCCTTTCCCGCCCGAAACAACTACCCACATTCTTGCCGCTCTAGAGCAGCCGCTCCGCACTGACGTCGGCCCAGAGCAGATGGGATCTCTCACTGGCATAGTTAATCGGCTCGTCAGCCTAGGGCGTCGCCCGTGATGCCTCCCCAGTGTCCACTTCTGTTCAACGCCAGAGAGACGTTACTTGAGACGGGACTGATATCTACTGTACATGTTCAATACATATCCATCTATCTGTCGCCATTAAACAGGTATGCCGCCGAGAAACCAACTCCGGCGCTCTCGCATTGACAGACCCGGATGCTTAGCCTCGCTGGCATCCGCTATTTTAAGGCGGCAACACTTGGCTCAAACCGCACCACACCAAGTTTGCTCCACATCCTCTTCGATCCCGTGGACCACATACGCCATAACCGCGAGCGGGAATGCGTTGTGGGAGATCCTCTCGACGGAGAAGAAGCTCGAGGTGAATAGAGGCTGGCATGCCGGCCAGTTCCTCGGAGGGCTCCGACGGCGACCCCATGATTAAGATGGACTCCGAAGACGACTCGATGCCGGTGCCCGTGCCTGTTTATGCCGGCTTGACCATGGAGTAGGCGCACTTCAACTCCGCCATGGCTGAGGAACAGTCGGTGCCGGCGCCTATGTCACCATTTTGGTAGGCGTTGGAGGAGCATCAACACAACCACTTCCTCCTCGAGCAGCATCGGCTGGTGGATGGCCAAATCTACGATGAGCGCGCAAGCGTGGAAGCCATGGTGGCCATGGTCGCAGCGAACCCCAACTTCATCGCCAAGCAGCGGGCCCTCTACGAGGCCGCGCCACTCACGCCGCCGCTCGCAACGCAGTCCCGGCGTAGCCGGACTTGGCGCGGCCCAATCCGACGCAGATATGGTGTTGGCGGCTCATGCAATCGCAAACGGGAACGTCGTCAAATACGCATCCAACGCGCCGCCAACGAATCTTCGTGGGCGGCGGTGGGACGAAGAGTGTGTCACCCCATCCACGTCCATCATGGGCCTCATGCCCGTGATGGACAGGTTGCGGACTTCAAGGAGGAGGATGAGTACATTGGAGGTGGCGGGGCCTTGAGTCCCAAATGGGCTAGTCCGTCTCCCATGTTATACTCTTTCTCGCCGGCGACCGCACCTTCATTTCACATGTCTCGTTCCCGCCGCTCATAGAGATGACGAGATGGATCCGGCGTTTGCTGGAAGGGAACTACAAGGACATGAAGGACGGGCGCCGCCATAGGCTAGGTTTAGGTTTGGTATTTTTCTAAAATGAAAAATGTAAAAAAATTATCATGAATGTGCTCCGGTTTATATGAAAACCATCCGGTTTGCACAAATTTCATCCAGTTTGTTAAAATATGTTTCAAAATGTATGCAAATATGGTTGGACGGCTGACTCCAGCTATGGACTGGTCCCCACAGTACACGAAATGATATCTTCACTTGCAAAAGTTAAGATCCAACAGGCCAACACGGCGTCAATCCACATACTTCTCACAAGGGGGTCTCTGATTTTTCTGTTTTAGATGTTTTCCCGGGTGCGGGATTTCTGATCAATGTAATTCTCCGATGAACCCCTTCAGAATTTGGACGCAGGAGTGTGTTGCTTATCGTTGCAGTCGCGCTAACAATGCACAACTTGCAGCTCCTATGTATTTCTATGCAGAATATGCTAGTAACAGGGAATATTCCAGTTTCAGATTCAATTCAATACATAATCCAGGGAAGGCAAGAACAGGTCCATAATGCATCTCTACGAAGAACATATCAATGCACTAAATCTGTAGTTGCACAGAGTAATACATCACCAAGTGGAGGCAAAATCTACCACCTTTATTATTACCAGTCGCCGGAGTCTAGATCTCTCCTCTCCTACTGGCCTACTCACTACTGGAATCTACTTCTTTGCCTTCAGCTAGCTGACGGTAAAGAGCTTCTTTGCCGTTAATTTTCATAAAGCAAACGGCAAAGAAATAACTGATGGCACAAGTTATTTTGCCATCAGCCAGTACTTTGCCGTCAGCTCGTGGACGGCAAAGAACCTTGTGGGCCCACAGATGCAAGGCTGTGGCTAGGTCAGCTCTTTGCCGTCTGCTAATTCTTTGCCGTCCGCTAGGCTGACGGCAAAGAGGGTAGGGGCCCACCCGGGCACGACGTTGAATCGCTAACCTCCCCC